GAATAGTTTGTTGGTGGGTTTTGTGAAGGGCCTGTCTAGTTGGGCCAGCAGGCCTGCTAAAGTGTTCCCTTTCTTATGAGTAGCGCGTCAGGTGTTGCTTTGTTGTGGGTAAGTGATAGTGAGGTGTGGGCTAGACCCTTCATATGCCTTCCTTTGATGCATCACTTTCATTGTTCCTTGATAATGTGAGTAGTCACGAAAGCGCTTAGAATTTCTCTATTCTTTCACAGTGGTTGTTTTGCATATTCTGAAATCACCTGTTTACTGTGATCTTATTGCATATATATATATATATATATATTATATATATATTATATATATATATATATATATATATATATACATATATATATATACATATACATATATATATGCATATATATATATATATATATATATATATATATATATATATATATATATATATATATATATATATAATATATATATATAATATATATATATATATATATATATATATATATATATATATATTTATATAATATATATATATATATATAATATATATATATATATATATATATATAATATATATATATTTGTCGTGCCTAATATGTAAAAACTGGTTAATTAGCAAGAACTCATTTAAAATTAAGTCTTTTCTGAAATTTTCTCTTATACGTTTAAAGATATATTTTTTCATTAATATTAATGTACAAAATTTTAATTTTGTACCAAAAGAATCTTAGAAAACTTACCTAACCTTATTATAACAAGAGCAATTTATTTTAGCCTAACCCAACTAAATATATTTTAGATTTGTTTACAATAATTTAATACTAAACAAACACAGTGAAATATATTTTTTTCGTTAGGTTCAGAATGATTTTGGCGAAATTATTGCATACACAAATTTTCACTTGTCCTATATGGCAAGATGAGCGTTGCTATTTAAGCCAAGATCGCAAGTTCTGCCTATTCGGCACGACACATACACACATATACATATATATATGTCGTGCCGAATAGGCACGTCTTCACTGGAGTGAGTGAGGAAGAGAGAGAGAGAGAGAAGGGTACAGGAAGTGCCACCAGGCACAACAGTGCCCACACCAGGAACGATGTTGGGAATAAGAATGTTGAATTTCCTGAATCTTTTTAAACCAATTTGTCGGTATTAATAACCAAGATTTAAACCAACATAAAAACTACTTTTAAAAGTTGTACTGTTATCTAGATTACAGGATATCGAACTAGATGTAAGGATTAAGAAAAGGTTGTCTCAACTGTTTGCAGGGCTATCATAATAAGGAACGACCTATACAAAATGAACAAGAGATCACCTTATCATGACCAAAGATCCTTGAACATTCTCTGGTTATAGCTCACCATTGTTGATAATTTGAGCTCGACGGAATGAGGTATTGTCAAGAAAAGAAGACTGTATATATCTAAGTATACGACCGGATCTGGAATAAAGTTGTTGGAAAATATTATACTTAAGGGCTCGCTAAACTCCTGAAACTTAAACAACAGCTTTAGGTGAGCGGTAGTCAAAGGATTACAAAGGTACATAAGAGACTGGACAGAAAAGTTTTGATAGCTGAACAAGTTAGAGTGGTAATGAACTATTTAAATGTTTATCTCCGGTCACAGTCGCAGCGAGTTATTTATATACCTTTGATATATACCTTTGAATAATTTCGAGAGTATATCTACTAGCTGAGCCCGGCCATGGGCCAGGCTCGTCTGGTGCTTGCCTGGTCAACCAGGCTGCTGCTGCTGGAGGCCCACTGCCCCACATATGCAGATATTAATTTGGTCACATACACACACAGAGGGAAATTCTGCCAAAAACCTACTGGAGTTTTATGACAAGGTAACGGAAGTAAGACATGAGAGAAAGGGGTGGGTAGATTGCATTTTCTTAGACTGTAGGAAGGCCTTCGACACAGTTCCCCACAAAATATTAGTGCAAAAGCTAGAGGATCAGGCACGCATAACAGGAAAGGCACTGCAATGGATCAGGGAATACCTGACAGGGTGGCAAAGAGTCATGGTACGTGACGAGGTGTCAGAGTGGGCGCCTGTGGCGAGAGGCGTTCCACAGGGGTCAGTCCTAGGACTAGTGCTGTTTTTGGTATATGTGAATGACATGATCAGTTTGGAATAAATACTTGGTCAAGCACATCAAGAAATTAAAGAAAGCGCAAAGATTTGAAACAAGACTAGTCCTGGGGCTAGGGGAAATGTCCTACGACGAAAGTTAAAGGGAACTCGGCCTGACGACACTGTAGGACAGGAGGGTTAGGGGGAGACATGATAACGACATATAAAATACAGCGAGGAATTGACAAGGTGGACAAAGATAATATGTTCTAGAGATGAGACACAGAAACAAGGGGACACAGTTGTAAGTTGAAGACTCAGATGAGTCAAAGGGATGTCAGAAAATATTTCTTCAGACGCAGAGTTGTCAGGAAGTGGAATAGTCTGGAAGATGATGTAGTGGAGGCAGGAACAACACAGCGCTATCACCAGCTTCTCGTTCCACTTCAGCTATTCCTAAGCACCTGACATCAAATTCAGAAGACCATCATTCTGTACATATTAGGTTTGTTTCACTTGATTTATTTAGTTTTATCATCATTTGCTTCAGTTAGGACGAACTCACATTCAATTGTTTTATATTTTGAGATTTGTTTATATTTACTAAAAAGTTGTTTATCTTTGGTTTTAATTTTTCTGTTTTCTTTTCACAAGGAGGAGGGGGGCTCCTTCACATATTCTTTGAGGGGTCTGAAGGGGCCCTAACACCTTCACAAGTGTCATCCTTATATACATGGACGCATATGAGCGTTCTGTCTAAAGGGTAGAGCCCCAATTATTGATGCTTGCTCAAATTTCTTCACGAGAGCCATCACTCTGTACGACAACAACAGCACTACCAGCAGCACCAGTGGATTACTGAATACAACCATCAACATTCAACATCAATAATTTGCCAAAGAGTGTGCAGTGTGACTAAGTTATCAATACAGCTTAAGGCATCCTAGTATCCACTTTTTTTAAAAGCAAGTTTTTCATATTTCACCATTTTCTCTTCTCATGTATATTCAGTTTCAAATTTGCTACACTTCTAGAAGTTTTTTTAAATGGCACTAAAGCTCCCATACCTCCTACGGGGTAGAAAATAGCACAACTGAGGGACTGAAGTGAATTCTTACAAGTTACCTCGTATAAAGTCCACTAACAATCCTGAAGTACGATTCATCAGCCCAGATAGGATATATATATATATATATATATATATATATATATATATATATATATATATATATATATATTATATATATATATATATATATATATATATATATATATATATATATATATATAATACACACACACACACATATATATATATATATATATATATATATATATATATATATATATATATATATATATATATATATATATATATATATGTATATATATATATATATATATATATATATATATATATATATATATGTATATATATATATATATATATATATATATATATATATATATATATATATATATATATATATATAATTAGAGTTCTAAACCAGTGTGCAAGAAATCTCAAGGAAATCAAATCCGGGAATAGTCCATATAAAAGTTTGTCAGAGGGCGCCATAAACTCTTCTCGGGTTAGAGCGGAAAATCTGAAGTCGATCGGATGAGGCATTCTTAAGTTGGAAACGAAAATCTTGGAAGGAAAACAAATTTTTTTTAGGCTGCCACTAAGTACGTTTTAAGGGATACCAAAACGTATGGAAATAATTTTTACAAAATACCGACACGACGTAAAAATAGACAGAAATGCAATATAATGCGACCCTTGATTGACAACGTTTCGCCCACACACTGGACTTCATCAAGTCACAAACGGATGTTTATGACCTGATAAAGCCCAGTGTGTGGGCGAAACATAGTCATTAAAGGATGGCATTATACAGCGTTTGCCTGTTGTACCAAAAAAAAAAAATTTGAGAATTAGTCAGACAGGCTAAACTATCCCAAGAAATATTTCTTATAAAAGTTTTTCATATATTTTTAACTAGACTGACGAAAAAAAATGCACCAAATCGAAATTATAAACTACTAAAATTACAGTAATAAAAGCACTTTAATGGAGGTTAATCCGACTAATATCATCTTAGACTATTAAATTATATTACTCAAGAAGCTATAACTTTTTTGTCCTTCAGTATATTAGTAAAAAAAAAAAAAATAGCAGGTGACAATGACAATTGTCATGTCTCTGGCAACCAGGAGTGTGACGCAAGTGTGACGTCACAACTCCCGCCCACACGTTGTACTCAGCCCACGATATTATTATCTTCAATAACCTTGATTTAATTTACAAAAAAAGAAAGTCCAAATATACCATTACAGAGGAATGAATGGTTTATACTGATATATGATAGAAGTTGGAGTGTATAGGTTATATTCTCAGAGGTGGATGTATGACGTACCATATGGTTATAAAGGGAGCGCTAAAACCACATGGATAATTCAGCATATGGGCAATGTGTGTTTATTCGATTTCATCTAAGAGAGGGGTAGCTCCAATTCCTTCGATCAAGAGCCCTTCGCGCGCATCGAGGTACTGCACCTGAAGGGTGTACTATACGTTAAATAGTTTAGATCTGCATAGTTTATATTAGTTTATATTATTAACATCGTTCATTTCGAGTCATTGTGGCTGAATTTGGTAAACAAATTTATCTGGCTTAATATGCGTAATACACAGCGTCTGTGTTACATGGAGTCACAGCGCGAGTGGAAAGAGGATCGTCATCAAGACTTTATTATGGAAATGCAGCAGTTGTGCGATGTATTTTTATTATTGTTTAGTAACTTGCGTTGATCACGGGAACAGTGAAGGTAGAGCTAGACTACACGTGTCTCCCTCACACTACAACACTCCTCACACTTCCTACTGCACTAGCAACTTAACAGTCAACACTAAAACAAAAGCTCACCCGCTCAGGCTTGACGTGTGGCATTAACAGCGGGAACTTCTGCAGGGTGTCAGTAGGTGCGGCTGTGGCCATGACAGCCAGCAGCAGCAGCAGAGACAACACTCCCTCACACCAAGCCATCTTGACTTCAACTGGTGGCTGAGCGGCGGTGGTGGGTTTCCAATCCCAGTCCCCTGCCACCACGACTCCCTCCGGGGATCCCAGGGAGGCCATGGCCAACCCCTATCATCCCATCCCCTAGGAAACCCCAGGGCCGACCCTGGAAGCCCCTCCCTCCAGCCACACCTGCCTCGCGCAGATCAATACGCTCTCTACACTTGCCGGAACTTTACGCCAACGCACAAACATGTCTTCGCTCTATCTTAAGCTTTATAACTACGCCGCTTGTATCTTAATTCCGTTTCTCTGAGTCGGTGCTCGTAAACTCACGTTATGAAAAGAGGAACACGACAGATATATCATTTGAGTGGCATTAGATTCTCTGGAAGGCATCCATTATGTCGAGATAGCGAAGGTGTAACAGGTGAGCTAAAGACCAATATCATGCCGGGGGTCTGCGCCCCCCGCTGCCAGGTCACAGACCAGGCCTCACGTTCTATTTCAATTTGCAAGTTTTATTCACTCGTGTTCCCTTGTCCCGGCCATATAACCTGATCAAATTCTGCTCACTGTTTAAACATAAAATGGCTTTCTATTTAAAACTAATCACATTAGTTTTAAATTTCAATGTTAACAAAATGGATTGTTGTAATGACTGATTGAAAATGGATACCACTAATGTTTTCAACAATCTGCTGCAAACAATGATTCTTGAATAACTTCCCTCAAAATATAGCACCTCCTTCCTTTTCCTTTCTCGAGGTGCAAGTGTTCCCTAACACTGTCCAGGTGCAAGTGTTCCCTAACACTGTCTTGGTGCAAGTGTTCCCTAACACTGTCCAGGTGCAAGTGTTCCCTAACACTGTCCAGGTGCAAGTGTTCCCTAACACTGTCCAGGTGCAAGTGTTCCCTAACACTGTCCAGGTGCAAGTGTTCCCTAACACTGTCCAGGTGCAAGTGTTCCCTAACACTGTCCAGGTGCAAGTGTTCCCTAACACTGTCCAGGTGCAAGTGTTCCCTAACAGTGTCCAGGTGCAAGTGTTCCCTAACAGTGTCCAGGTGCAAGTGTTCCCTAACACTGTCCAGGTGCAAGTGTTCCCTAACACTGTCCAGGTGCAAGTGTTCCCTAACACTGTTTTGGTGCAAGTGTTCCCTAACACTGTCTTGGTGCAAGTGTTCCCTAACACTGTCTTGGTGCAAGTGTTCCCTAACACTGTCTTTGTGCAAGTGTTCCCTAACACTGTCTTGGTGCAAGTGTTCCCTAACACTGTCCAGGTGCAAGTGTTCCCTAACAGTGTCTTGGTGCAAGTGTTCCCTAACACTGTCCAGGTGCAAGTGTTCCCTAACACTGTCTTGGTGCAAGTGTTCCCTAACACAGTCTTGGTGCAAGTGTTCCCTAACACTGTCCAGGTACAAGTGTTCCCTAACACTGTCCAGGTGCAAGTGTTCCCTAACACTGTCTTGGTGCAAGTGTTCCCTAACACTGTCCAGGTGCAAGTGTTCCCTAACACTGTCCAGGTGCAAGTGTTCCCTAACACTGTCCAGGTGCAAGTGTTCCCTAACACTGTCCAGGTGCAAGTGTTCCCTAACACTGTCCAGGTGCAAGTGTTCCCTAACACTGTCTTGGTGCAAGTGTTCCCTAACACAGTCTTGGTGCAAGTGTTCCCTAACACTGTCTTGGTGCAAGTGTTCCCTAACACTGTCTTGGTGCAAGTGTTCCCTAACACTGTCTTGGTGCAAGTGTTCCCTAACACTGTCTTGGTATAAGTGTTCCCTAACACTGTCTTGGTGCAAGTGTTCCCTAACACTGTCTTGGTGCAAGTGTTCCCTAACACTGTCTTGGTATAAGTGTTCCCTAACACTGTCTTGGTGCAAGTGTTCCCTAACACTGTCTTGGTGCAAGTGTTCCCTAACACTGTCTTGGTGCAAGTGTTCCCTAACACTGTCTTGGTGCAAGTGTTCCCTAACACTGTCTTGGTGCAAGTGTTCCCTAACACTGTCTTGGTACAAGTGTTCCCTAACACTGTCTTGGTACAAGCGTTCCGTAACACTGTCTTGGTACAAGTGTTCCCTAACACTGTCTTGGTACAAGTGTTCCCTAACACTGTCTTGGTACAAGTGTTCCCTAACACTGTCTTGGTGCAAGTGTTCCCTCGAGTAACACTGTTGGTGTTACTCGAGGCAGTCCGTGGCCTCTTCCCACTATGTAAACACTGGCTTAATTAACACCTTCAGTTAATACGATAAATGTTTAGTTGTAATTTAACACACACACACACACACACGCACTCAGATGAGTCATAGGAATGTTAGGAAGTATTTCTTCAGCCTCAGAGTTGTCAGGAAGTGAAACAATCTGCAGAGCGAAGTAGTGGAAGCAGGAGCCATACATAGCTTTAAGAAGAGGTACGATAGGGCTCATTGGAGCAGGGTGAAAGTGGGCCTAATAGCGACCAGCGAAGAGGAGGGGCCATGAGCTAAGAACCGACCCCTGCAACCACAAATAAGTAAGAATACACACACACACACACTCGCTCAGATTTAACTAAGCTTATACGTAAATTACCAATGTTACAAAAAACGCGATTCTAAAAGCTTAGAGATCTCCAGTGAATACTAGAAAGGACTGCCCTTCTAGCATCCAGCCTGTTACTGGGTTTTCCTAACAAGTAGTCAGTATCCTTGTCCAATTATCCATTATAAATCAGTATTATTCAATAGTGCTTCAGGATTACAACTGGTAGGCTACTAACTAGAGAAATTAAAATTTAATAAATTTATTAAGTCTATAAGTTGTCTAGAGGTATATTATCAAAGTAAATTAAATCACAGCAATCAAAATAAAATCAATCTCTCGAGTTCAATATTATTGTGCTGAAAGCACATATCACATTTATAATTCTTAAGTACCGTCTGGTACATTAACATTTAATAAGATATTACAAATATGTAAGTGTGTGTATGCGTGTAAGTGCTCTAAGTAGTTCGCTATGTCTCACGACTCGACTAGACTTAAACAAGTGACTAACAAAGTCCTCAAATAAACTAACTTCTTGACCGACTGGCAACCCGAACAGTCTGCTTGAACAACAAAGAATGCTAAGCCCAATAGCAATGCAATATCAAGCGACTGCGACACAGAATCAGGAACTGGGAAATAATATAACGACACTAAGTAGGGACCATCAACAGATCCTCCACAAAAGTTACAAAACTCCCATACTACTGAATCTATGTTCAGCATAGGAAAAACGCGACTGTGACAATACACAGAAACCAGTACAAAATTAGGTCAGAAGCTATAGCTAAGGACCTGAGATGTTCAGAGTGTCTATGTGACACAACCTCAGTACAACGTCGAAAAATCACAAAGGTTATACAATGTTCTGTGAACAAAGTTCTACAGAACTAACAAGAATAATGAGACAGACAATCTGTCCAACCACCAAGCGAGTCTAGAGCAGACTGAAAACTTCACGAGAGGTGAGGACATCCCCCCTCGATCACGTGATAGCCCTGTGGACAGCGCAGCTCAGAAGCCGGCAGTATAACGAACGATAAGCGATAATTACAGTAGTTTGACAATCAAGACTAACTGAGCACATTTTATATACATCCTAACAATATGTAATATGTAACATCCTAACAACATAAGCTACGTCAAATAACAATATAAGGCAATACATTTGCGATTTAGCTATTATCGCAAATATAAGCAATATAAAATTAAATGAAAAGGTAATATACATTACATATATACATAATAATCATTGTAACCCATTCAGGGGTTGCAACACCAAAAGGCTTCAAGTTACCCCAGGAGAGTTCACAAATAACCCTAGAATTTAAAATAAAACCGAAATTTCGACCTGTCCAAGACCATCTTCAAGTCGCAAGTGAAAAATGAAACTGAAGAAGGCGAGAAGTCAGGTTACGATGTTAAATTTAATAGGGTGTATATATGGTCAGATGGAATAATTTTCATAGTTCAGGATCTGATTTTGTGATGTGAGTAAATAGATTTGTCAGAGCTTATTGTTATGGTAGCACTGAAAGTGGGTTGGGCAAATGTTCTGTTAGTGGGTTGGTATTGTAAAGGACTTGCCAAGTATGGGCCAACAGGCCTACTGCAGTGTTCATCCTTTCTTATGTTTTTAAGTGCTGCTGCACAGGACGCCTTTCCCTTTAAGGGATGGGTGAAGGGCTCTCAGTCAAAGAAATTAGAGTTACCTTCTCCAATTCATTCGATCTAACTTCATTATCTTCCATTCCTCAAGCTCTGTATTACCATTATGTGTTAAATGTTTCCCCTAGATTATAACAATAATAATAATTATTTCCTTGCATCCATGCCATGTATCTTGTCAGACCTTTCATGATATACACTTGACTCCTATATATAAAAAGCGCTTTTCTAACCGCTTCTTGAAATAACAGACTGTTTTAGCGCTTACGTGTTCTGTAATTATTTGGTAAAATCATTCGCTCACATTTGTGTTGCACCTCTTACCACGTAGTTTCACTCAGATGTTTCATGTTATTGTAACTCTTTGCATTTGTAAGCAGGTGTGTGTGTGTGTGTGTGTGTGTGTGTGTGTGTGGTGTGTGTGTGTGTGTGTGTGTGTGTGTGTGTGTGT